TCCACCTGCCAATGCAGGGGACATGGATTCGATCCCTGGTCAGGGAAGATCCCACATGCTGCGTAGCAACTAAGCCCGTGTGCCACAACTACTGAGCCTGTATGCTGCAACTACTGAAGTCCGCGTGCCTAGAGCCTGTGCTCCGCAACAAAAGAAGCCACTGCAATGGGAAGCCCACGCACCGCAACGAAGAGTAGCCCCCGCTCGCCGCAACTAGAAAAAGCCTGCGTGCAGCAACGAAGACCCAACGCGGCCAAAAAAAAAAAAAAAAAGAGAGAGTAAGAAAAAAAGAGGTGATTCTGACACAGAGGGACGAATGCTATGGTGTTGCCCGGGATGCCCAGGACTCTATAGGAATAGGCTGGGTGTCAGGGAAGCATCCCTCAGATGGGATATAAAGCAACCTCTAAGCTTCCCAAGACAGGTGAGGTGAAGATGGGGAAACTGTGCCAAGAAGAGAGAATGACTTGTGTTGAGGGTCCAAGGAGCATGATTTTTGAGGAAGGGAAGGCTGTCTAGTGGGGTTGAGCCTTGGAGGCCGGGGTGGGGAGGCAGAGTGGGGCAATGCGCAGAGTGCAGGCAGAAACTGAGAGGCAAGCACGGCTCTGCCCTTGTAGGGGCTCTTTAGGCATGCCATGGTGTCTGGGTGGGCTCTTAAGAGCCATGTCGGCTTGGGGGACTGGAAGGACTTTTAAACAGGGGAGTGACATGGCCAGATTCAGGACTGTGTCACTTGGCTATTCCAAATGGCTTGGAAATGGACTGAGCAGGGTTGAGGGTAGGGAGAGGCAGTCTGGAGATGGGAGACCCTCTTGAGGCTGTTACAGAAAGATGGTGATAGCCTGGTTGGAATCGGTGGTACAAGTGGGGAAGAAGAGAGGTGGACGTATCTAGAAATAATAACAGGCTGGTAATTGACAGGAGGTGGCAGAGCCTGGAGCCCAGCCTCATCAGCTTGTGAGCTTTGGTGGTCTCATCGTGTAATGCCTACCTTGCAGGGTCCTTACAGAGATCAAATAGAGCAGGGACAACATCACCTCTCATACAGAGGAGAGTGGGAGGTGGCCAGTGACTTGTCCAAGGTCTCTCACCAGGGCCAATGCGCTCTCTCTCTCTTCACCTCCTCTGCAGTGCATACTTGTCTTGGCAAGGATGACCTTGAATGGAGCCCTGGCAGGGGAGGGAGAAGGAAGGTACGGTCTGTCCCTCCAGGCCTGCCGCAGACCTTGAGGGAGCCACAATAAATGCTGTGTTTGTTTGGTAAAACACTTGGCTTTTAGTTTTGCTAGAAGGAAGAACTAGAACAGGTGTGGCAAGACCAGTGCAGCCTGCAGCACAGCAGTGGGAGGTGCGGCGGGACAGAGCCCCAGGGCCTGGCAGGGGGCTCCAGGGGCTGTGGATTTTGAAGAAATCCAAGGACTTTCTCATGACCCAGCCATCTCCCTCATGTTCCCAGACTCCTGCCTGGCTGAATACACCAAAATATTAACGATACCAACTCAAGTTAACTGACGTTCTACTGTGTGCCTAGCATAGGTGCTACTCCTGCACATAGACAGGAACACAAATGAGCGCTGGCCTGTACTCAGTGCTGCAGACAGAGAGAAGCTCAGGATAGTGCCCTTGATCTTGGGAGATGACCTTCTGCAGGGGACATCTCACAAGAAACAGAACAACACCATAGCGTATGTAGTATGTGCTGTGACGGGGTGAAACTAGACTGCATGGGAATCCAGAGGATGGCTCAGCTAATCCTCAACACAGCTCAGTGCTATTATCATACCCATTTTGTAGATGAGGAAACTGAGACTCAGAGAGTGAACTGCCCTGTTTACCTGGTCAGTTTGGTTCTGACTAATTTTCTTCTGCAGGGGGTGATAAGGATAAAAATGGGGATGGAAAAGACAAGTTACATGGATCATGGATCCAAGTTACAAGATCATGGATCATCTGGTCCAAGCCCTATGTTGAAATGATGGGGAAACTGAGACCCAGAAGGGAAGGAAATTGCTCCGAGTCACACAGGGAAAGGAGCGGATCCCAGCTGACTCCCAGTCCAGTCACACCAAATGCCTTTCTCTTCTCTAGGAGTCTCAAGATTTCCTGGGACCCCTCACGTGGGACCCTCCTCAGTTTGTGGTCTCTAGGCTGCAAACTCTACGCCCTCTGTTTAGACTCTAAACTCCAGAAAGAATAAGAAGAGTTTGAGTTAGGACAGATCCTGAAGCCAGGCAAGGATGTGTGTGCGAGTTGGGGTGGGAGGGTGTAGGATGGGGTAGGATACCTCACCACTACCTGCCAGGGGAGCCCAGGAGAGCCCAGGCTTGGGGAGAGACTAGGGAGCCAGGGGAGGGTCTGAGGCCCGGGAGCCCTTCCCACCCCACCTGAGGATCTGATTGGGTCTGTCTACCTTCTCTGCCACATCCCTCTGGCTCAGGGGTGCTGACGGGTGTGCTGGGGATGAACCACAGTGGGCTGGCTGGCTCAGTGCCTCAGGCTGCCGCTCTGCCACAGTGTGGCTGGGAGGCGTTGCATCCAGGCTGCCCTCTTGAAGCCGGTGGTAAATGAATAACCTTGCTCCTGCCTGCAGGGCCCTCTGGGACAAAGAAGCCACCTGGTGCCCCTCAGTTTTGGCTTGGGCCAACCTGACACCCTGGTTCCACTGACCAAGAGACCGTGGGGGTGGGTGAAGGCAGATGCAACCCCTTGGTCCTCTGCCTACACTCCCAAATCCCATCTCAGTTCCCTCCCCCTCTACTGCTAAGCCTCTTCCCTCTCTGACACTTCCCCCCACGGAGCCCCCTCCCCTTCACTGACCCCCTTCTCTGAGTCCCCTCCCTCTTACTGGGCTCCCTCCCCTCACTTCCCCATGGCTAAGCCCCCTCCCCCTGAGGCCTCCCCATGGAGCCCTCCCACCCACTGCCCTGACCCCACATCCCCTCCCTCTAGCTCTCCCTAGGATCCATCACTAGTAGCCCCCCTCACCTACATATTCCATGTCACTCTGTTTCCTTCCCCCCAGGCTAGAAGACTGGTTCCCAAAGGGGACTGGGTTGGAGAGAGAGTAATGACAACCCCAAGTCCTTTCCTGGAATCTCACAGAGAATGAAGGATCTAAAGCCAGGGTACTCTTACTGCTCGTGGTAACCTGCTTCCTCTTGCTCGGGTCATAAAGGGTAAAAACATGTCTGTTGTTCCTTAGCTAGAGGAGAATTTTTTGGGAGCCATGTGAAGCATTCTACTGAAAAATCTGCCTGCCCCCGGGGCCTTTTGCTTTCTCTTTGCTGCAGGCCAACAAGTTCGAGATACAATAATTTCGAAATAATTGCAAGCCTCCACAATCCCAAATACCCGTCCTGTGACCTATGCTCCCCTGCAAGTGGCTCTCCTGGCCTGGATTCCCCAAACCTCTAGAATGCGTGGCCTACGTGTTCTGTTTCTGCTTCTCATCTCCCACTCACTTTTCTGTCCACTGCATCTGCCCCCGCGTCTCTAGTTAAGGCTGCCAGTGACCACCTTGCTGCTTTTAATCTTCAGCCTTCTTGCCTGACGACTTCCGCAGCCTCGGATGCCATTGCCAACGCCCGCCTTCTTGAAACTCTTTTTTTTTCTCTTTGGTTTCTAGACTGACCTCATCCACTTCCCTGGTTTCGGTTGCCATATGTATGCTAACAACAGCCAGGTTTACTGTTCCTGAGTTCCAGATCTCTATTGTATGTCCTGTCACTTCCTGGACGTCTCTGCCTGGAGGTCCCACAGGCTTGCCAAACTCTGTTCACTCACAACTGAAACCATCATCTTCCCCCAGCAACCTGGTCCTATTTTGGTAAATGGTACCACCAGCCAGTCAGTGACCTAAGGCAGAAAATTGGGGTTATCCTAGCTCTTTCCACTCCCTCACCCCGCCTATCCAAATGGTTCTCCAGCCCAGCTCATCTTGCTTCTTTTACAACGCCCCCTTCCCATCAGGCCTGGTCCGCCGTCCCACTGTCCCTGCTTTATTTCTGGGCTGCATCATCTCACACCGAGACAGCTACACAGCCTCTAAGATGGTCTCCCGCCTTCATGCCCCTCCTTGAGTCCCAGTTCTGCAGGGGCAGCTGGAGAGGTTATTTTAGAGTGTAAATTTGACCAGGTACGTCCCTTCCATGATTCCCATAACATTAGATTAGGGTCCAAAATCTGTAATTCCGCACATGAAGATTCTCCATGACTTGACGTCTTCTGGGCCCAGGGCCCCATTGCTGCTTCCTCCCTCACCTTGCTATCTACCCACCCATTGGGATCTCACTTTCCTGGCTCTGGACACCAGCCCCCTCTCCCACTGCCTGAACCTCTTACACCTTCTCCAAGACACAAGTGCTTCCAAACCTTGTTTACCTTAGCATTAGAAGGTCACCAGAGAGTTCTGAGTCCCCCCCGCTCTTTCCC